GGCAGGCACAAAGGGTTTGCACCAGGTCTGGGGACACAGGGGACACCGTCTTAAAGGGGCCGTGTCCCCAACAAGTCTAGGGACACGACCTTAAAGGGGCAGTGTCCCAATCTTCCTGATGTCCCAAAAAAGGTGTTTAAAGGGCCAGCACCAGTCACATAAAGAGTCCATAAACCCCAATATGCCCACCGACAGTCTTAAAGGGCCATACACACCAAATAAAAGTGCATACATTTTCACAATCTCCCAGGGGCCATAGTCATGCGGGAGGAGGCTGGCAAATAGGCTTCTCCACAACCCAGGAAAGCAGGGCAATTTGCCATTTAAAGGGCCCGTTACAAATAGCAGTTTGTAACAAAGGTGTCAATCCATATCTGCCAAGTGACCCGATGTAGGGGAACCAGTCCCTATTCTCCCTATTCTGCTCTGTGTCAGTGTGTATCAGGGATCCTTAGGACAGGTGTCAATCCATATCTGCCAAGTGACCGGATGTTGGGGTAACATTCCCAGTCCCTATTCTGCTCTGTGTCAGTGTGTATCAGGGAACCTTAGGACAGGTGTCAATCCATATCTGCCAAGTGACCCGATGTAGGGGGAACAGTCCCTATTCTGCTCTGTGTCAGTGTGTATCAGGGATCCTTAGGACAGGTGTCAATCCATATCTGCCAAGTGACCCTATGTAGGGGGACCAGTCTCTATTCTGCTCTGTGTCCGTGTGCATCAGGGGCTCTGAGGACAGGTGTCAATCCATATGTCAAGGTGTCAATATGTCATATGTCAGGTGTCAATCCATATTGATTGTGATTTAGGAATGTTAGGTGATTTCTGCCCTTTATGGATTAAAACCAGACTCTGTATCAACTGTGTAATTTTCCATGGGAGTTTTGCCATGGATCCCCCTCCGGCATGCCACAGTCCAGGTGTTAGTCCCCTTGAAACAACTTTTCCATCCCTATTGTGGCCAGAAAGAGTCCCTGTGTGTTTTAAAATTCGCCTCCCCATTGAAGTCAATGGCGTTTCGGGCGGTTCGCCGGTTCGCGAACATTTGCGGAAGTTCGCGTTCGCCGTTCGCGAACCGAAAATTTCGGGTTCGCGACATCACTATTGCTCACTTGTACCATTACAGAGAGATGATAGTCTGAATTATATCAGACTGATCCCACTCGTAAGACCAGAACCAAAATGCCAGCAAGTTCATTCTGCACAAGAGATAAAGCAACCATAGATCATCATTTCTGCCCTTATTGGGCCTTGTTAATGAGGTATAGCTGATACCCTTAATATCGATAAAATTAAGATTATCTTTATTGGTACATCCAACAAAATCAGTGTTTGAACATTAAAAAGATATTGTACATTAGAGATTAATCCACACAAATGTTTGGACAATATACCATGAACTATAACAAGAAATTCAACATAAAAATGGTACTCAGTTGGTAAATCATATAGACAGAGATGGCATTACTATGAAATAATTAATCAAGTGGCCAACACAAAAATTAGCAAAATTTCTTTGCAGAGAATTGGTTTATATTTGGCTTGTACAGATAACAGTTGATACTTGTCACGGCTCCCAGCTCTTTTGACGGCAGGGCTGCACATAAGTAAAGCAGCCACGCCGACGGATATATTTTATACTTACCTAGGTCGCAGCAGATCACTGCCATCCCCTCTCGCTCCGGTCCCCAGCAAGTGCGTTCTTAGGTTTAAATAGAAAACTTCCCGTGCCCACAACAAAGATGGGGCCAATGTGCGTGCGACGTCACCTCATAGACGCTTACGCACGTTGTGGGGTCAGAGGCCAGGTACAACCAATAACAACCTCAAAAGGGTTATTTAAATCCCAAAATAGCATTTGGTCAGTACTCTGTCATGGTTTCCACTTTGGACCATTCTGCAACATATTTGGGGAGTGTGTTTCGGCCAGTATCTTGACTGATGGAGGGGATTAGTGTGAGTGGTTTCTGTATGATATGGGTGTTTGAACTCCACTCCTCGAAATCCGTACCCTTAGTAGGTACCGCTAAGCCTTTAATTGATGTGATAAACTGAGATAATTGGTGGTATTCAAATGTTTGAAGGAAGGAAGGAAGGTTGTGTGGTCATGCTGAGTTCTAAAAGAGGTTTTAATTTTCCCTCCATTATCAATCCCCTTAAAGTAATATATGAGATGTGTGGCGGTCGTAGCCACCTGAGTCCAATTATCCCTGGGGGGAATGCCGGGTTGTGTGAGATAGTTGTCAATGGGGACATGTTTCCTATTAATCTGAGTTTAGGTACATGCTTTTTCCACAGACTTAGTAAAGGGCTAATGGTGGGGTGCCGACGGGGAAACAATCTAGAGATCGGTTCCATTTGCCATGGCAGGGTGACTAATGGGAGTTGTATCCATTTTTGTTCTAGGGATTTCCAGTGTTGTGTGCTGTGTGGGCAGCACCAGTCCAGAGTTCAAGTCAATTGTGTTGTCAGGTAGTATTTAAATTGGAGTCTGTCATTATCAGGTATCTAAGGTGGGGACAATCCATATAAAGAAGCATAATAGTGATGAAAAGTTTGTGCGATATCTTTAGTAAGTTGTTGTGTCCTACCCTGGGAGTCTTTGATTTTGGAGATGTATGATTTGTGTAACTTTTGCTGTAACACACGTACTAAGAGTCTGCCTTTTTTGTTTCCCTCGGCGTAAAATGAATGTTGTGTGAGCAGTATTGCTCTTTTAGCTTTGTGGTTCGAGATAAGTGACAGTTGTTCCATTTTAAGTCTGACTGCGAGTAGTGCGTCTGGATGCTTGTCAGTTTTATGTCTTGTCTCCAAGTCCTGTATATCTGTGACAAGTGTGGTTATTTTTTGGTCCCTTTCTTTTTTCATTCTGGTGCCTAATTGGATGAGTGTTCCCCGTAAGACACACTTGTGCGCTTCCCAGGTGTTTAATGGTGAGGTGTCTGATGTTGGGTTATCATGAAAGTATGTTAGTATAGCTTCTTGTAGTTCTCTTTTCACTTGCTGATTGTCTAGCAGTGAATCATTAATTTTCCATTTCCATGTCCTAGAAGCTACCATTGGAAATGTCATGTATACGTGCACTGGTGCGTGGTCCGTCCATGTGATTGGACCTATGTGGGATTTTTGAATGAGGTGAATGTATGTATGTTGTGTGAAAATTGAATCTATTTGGGAGTATGTGTCTTTGGTATAGGAGTAAAATGTATAGTCATTTGCTGTTGGGTTTACTTGTCTGCAACAGTCAATTAATTAGAATGGATAGTTTGTATGCATATTTTCTTTTGAAAATTCCTTGGGTGCGGTTGGTTCCTAGAGATATCTAGGTGGACATTAAAATCTCCCCCACAGATCAGAATGCCTGATGTAAATGAATTCAGTTTAGAGAGAGTGTGTTTGAGAAAGGATCCTTGTCTATTGTTTGGGCTATAAATGTTTGCAAATGTATAGGCTTGAGCTACTATGGAGCCTTTGAGGAAGAGGAATCTTCCATGATGGTCTGTCATTTGGTCTTCCAGGCTAAATGGAATGTGGTTTGTGAACAGGATTGCCACTCCTCTCACTTTACCTCCAGTATAGTCGCTAAAGTACCCCAGATCTGCGATCCCGGAGTGACGGCGCCGATCACCATCTAAAGTGAGTCTCCTGCAGAAAGGCCACATCTACTCCCATTCATTTTAGATCTGCAAGAAGCAGGCGCTACCTGTCTGGAATATTCAACCCCCTGACATTCAATGAGATTATATGAGAACACATATTGAACAATATTGGAGATATAATTCTAGATGCATGAGCCGCAGGGGGACCTCCCTGTCCCGCCCCAATCCCATGCTTGCCAGCATACGATTATACACATACAGATTTACACTTGCCGTGCTGACCCAATATGATTGCTTGACATAAATAATTAACAATAAGAAACAAGACGTTAAAAAATAAACAATGAATTGTAAGAACAGTAAAATAAATGTTTGCAAATGCTCAGTGTGTGAGCAAAGGATTCTAGCCGGAATCAGGGCTATGGAGATTCGTGTCATCCTGTGGGCAGTGGGACCTGTGTCCTGAACCCCCAAGGATTAACTGTGTGCGACACGGCTTCTGGGGGTAAATGATGGGTTATTAAGCATAGGTGACAGATATAAGGTGGTGTGAGTGAATTTGCGTAGTCGGGTGAACTTTTAGCGGACATGTATTGTCCTATGAGGGTCTTGCAGCTAACTTTAATTGATTGGGAGGGTGATTGATCTATTAGTTCTTAAGGCCACATGAATGCTTGAGTCAATTATGAGCGGGGATACGTTATTAAGTGAACTGGTGATGCTGGGTCATTCAAATTACACAGTATCCGTTCTCATAAGGAAGTGGGCCCTAATCAGAAAATCAGAGTATACATGTTATAGTTGGTTTGCTTATATCATAATTTTGAACCGATTAGGTGTGTGGGTATTAGCAAAATTACTTGATCATCTAATGGTGTGGGTACAAACGAGAGAAATTAAGGTATACATAACATTGGCAATATCATAGGTTATATGTTATATGTCCCGTTTTAAGATTACATTAAGGTGTGACAGCTTATCAGAACAGGTTTGTGTTTAGGTCCAGTCTACATGTCTGGAGGTCTGTCCGCTTGGTGACCCAGAAGAGTGTGCGGGTGAGGGCTTGCATTTTCTGAGGCCGTTTAAGTCCCTGCAGCGCTGTGGTTGTGGAGCCTTTGGAAAATGTCCCAGGTCTTCATACCAGTCTTGAACTTGTGCTTCTTGTAGTACAAGTGCTTGGATAAAGTTGGGTTTAATCAGTTTGATATGTGCAGTTGCTGTAGTCAAGCGAGTGACCTGAGTCTCTACAGTTGTTTCCAATTGTTGAACTCTCGTGTCTAAGGAGTTGAGGCTGTAAGAAATTATGATCTCTTACAAGGATATTCCTTTAAGGAATGTGTGACAAATAAGACACAAACACAAGTGTATAATAAAATGTATTGTAAATATTAATTTAAGGATACTGGTACATGTTAAAAGGATATACACATTACACATTAAACATTGTATCCAGTACATAATCAAAAGATACATAATAAAAGGGCAATACTTAGACATTTAAATTAAGATCTTCCCATGTGCCTTCATCTTGGTAGGATGGGACAGTCATCTGTGCTTACTGCGCTGTCATCTCCAAAAGAGACAGAGAGAGGAGAGCCCAACCTCCTTGACTGTTGTTCTTTTAAAGACTGATTCTTGCTGTCATTAACTACAAGTCCCAGAATTCCTTTACCCTCCCAAAAGTGGTTTATCCTGCCATCTTTTCACAGAGAGTTCAATCTTTACACCAGTCCTTTTCTTTGATCTCTTCCCTCCAGTTACACTACACCACTCTGTAAAAAGTGACCAGTTAGGGTTGGTTTCTGGGTAGGTTGGGAGCAGGATGGCTTGGTAAAACACATACTTCCATGGTTACACCTAGATGTTCATTACTCTGATCTTCTGATAACATGCATGGAAAACTGGTTGGCAGGAGAACTGCTGGAAGGATGTAAGCTTTTGTTTTAGCTGGGTGTTGTAAAACGCAACTGAAAGCTTTGATCCTTTGACCCCAACTTGTGAAACCAGTCACATACACAGAAAGTTATATATAATATTGCAGTTTTGCAAATCAATTTCTTACAAGGCCTGCTCCCAGTTCGGAGATTTTGGCCTGGATGGAATTGTCTAGGTCGGATAGTATGTGTGCTACATCCTCTCATGAGGGCAGTTTGCTCAGTATGTCCCATATATCTGTATCAGGGAGCATCGATGCTTATGAGATAGAGTAGCTGGCTTGTGAGGCCATCGGTGATGGTGCTCGCGACGCCATGCTGGTTCTTGAGGCCTTCGGATCTTCGTCGTTTTTTTTTGTTTATTTGTTTAAAGGTTGAAATCTGGAACCCGAGACATTCCTTGGTAGGTACTGAGTCTCATTTTTTGTTGCCCATTTTGTAGGATTCCTGCAATCTAAAGCGTATTGAGCTCGCCCCTAGTCAGAGCAGAGGGCTCACATTGCTTGGCGGACACCCCCTCCCCACCCCGTGTAAATACATTATTGTTCGTAGCAGAATTCATGTGTTGCAATGTTCTCAGTCGCAGTTGCTGGAAAGTTTTCCCTATATATTGGGACCCACAATTGCATGTAATCAAATAGATGATATTGCTGGAGCTACAGTTTACAAAACTGTTTGTGGTGTATGTCCTTCCTGTCTGATAGCTGCTGGAATTCTTAGAAGGAAGAATAAAGTTACAGGCTTTGCAATGCCCACATCTAAAAGTTCCCTTGGTTGGTATCAGCCAGGTAGGTTTCTGCTGTTTGGGTTCTAAATGGCTTCTAAAGGTCATTGATGGAAAGGGCAATATTTCTTTATTTGGTATTGCATCATATTGGAGAATTGGCCAGTTTCTTTTGAGACTCTGTTTAGCAGGTTCCCAGTGTTGATCATACAATTTAGTAGTGGGTTTATGCAGACTTTGTTGTCTGTCCACAAATTGTACTCAATGGTAGCACTCTATTTGGGTATCCAAGCTCTCTAAATCTAGATCTTAGCTTCTTTTTCAAAGTCATCAGCCCTGGAACAATTCCTTTTGGCTCTTAAGTATTGGCCATATGGAATATTGTTCTTCAAATTCAGAGGGTGATAGCTGTTCCAATGCAGCAAACTGTTGGTGGAAGCAGCTTTGCAGAAGAGGGAAGTAGCTACTTCACCGCTTTCCAATATTTAGATTTTTAAGTCAAGAAAAACCAATTTGGGTCTGTTCATATATAACATGTGTAAATTGAAGTTCAATTGGATTATTATTTAAAGAAAGACCAAATTCTTCAAATTAGGATACGGGGCCAGTCCAGAAGATTAAGATGTCGTCTATGTACTTATGCCACCTCAAAATTTGGAATGTTGTGTATCCTTACCATTGTTTCTTCCCACCATCCCAGAAAGAGGTTTGCACAGCTTGGTGCACAGGACATCCCCATTGCTATCCCCTTAATTTGTAGATCGTATTTGCCATTGAACTCAAAGTAATTGTGAATCAAAACTGTGATTCTGTTTGCCTGTATGTATGTGTCTGTGTGTGTGTGTGTGTGTGTGTGTGTGTGTTTGTATGTATGTGTATGTATTTATGTGTGTATGTGTGTTTGTATGTATGTGTCTGTGTGTATGTGTTTGTATGTATGTATGTGTTTGTCTGTGTGTGTGTCTGTATGTATGCGTCTCTGTGTGTGTATGTGTGTGTTTGTATGTTTGTGTCTCCATTATATTTTTTCATAAATATTGTACTTTCAAATCAGTTACTGAAATTTTGCCTGCTTCGTGGATTAATATATGCTTGTTAAACTCGCTGTATTAGATAGGACATCTGATTTTTTTCATTTTATGGAATATTAAATTATAGATAGTTATATTACTATACAATTGGTTACTGTACCTTTATGATCCTGATGCTATGTTCGAGTAGACTCCATGTCTTGTTTTTATATGTTACTTATACATATGTTTTAACATGTGATGACAATTTTCAATTAACCTAATTGGGCTTGGGGTTATTTAAACACTGCTGTTATGTTGTATCCCTTATGCATGATTAAGGCTCTGCTGAGCCAAAACATTGCACTTATTATTTTTTGGGGAAGTGGTGAACCCACGAATAAACTTACATTCATTATCCTGGAGTGCTGCCTGTGTTCCTTTGTTCCTTTTCTTTGATACTGCATTGGTGTATTCAGCAGTGTCCATCCCTTACACGGAGCGCCTCCTTGGTGGAAGGCCAGAGCATTCATGCGGAACTCGAGTGCAGGGTATACTGTTTCTGTCTGTATGTGTGTGTGTTTTTGTCTGTATGTGTGTGTGTCTGCATGTGTATCTGTTTGTCTGCATGAGTGGGGGGAACGTATGGGAGGTGGAGGGTAGACGTATGGGGTGTTGCGGGGGGTAGACATATGGGGGGGAGGGGCCAGAGCAATTTTTGCACTGGGGCCTTGTGGTTTCTAGTTACGCCTCTGGGGGTACCAGAGCAATTTTTGCACCAGGGCCTGTTGGTTTCTATTTACACCTTTACTGTCAGACACACGCTCAGGCACATACATAGATAGACACTGTCAGACACACATAGTTAGATACACTCTGTTAGACACACATTGTGACTGTATTTGTCAATGTGTGTAGCTGTGCATCAGTGTGTTTGTGTCAGAGTATGTATATGTGTGCATTTATCAGTGTGTATATATAAGTGGGTGTGCGACCTTACTATATAGTGGAATTTACTGTTCAGAGTATTCTGTGTGTCACTCAGTATACAGATGGATTTACTATGCAGAGCATTCTGGTTATTCAGTATATAGAGGTATTCTCTGTGCAGAGCTTTCATGCAAGTGAATGATAATTTTTAAGTGCTATATGCACTAGAAGTCAAGAGGCACCTGCCACATGGGGGCATATCTACTAAATGTATAAAGCCAGCTATTGGGAAACCATTGCTGACCAGTTGCTAGAAAGGTCCCATCCAAAAATGTCAGAGTCCTATTTAACCTTGCACTGCAGAGTCCCATTGCTAGAATAGGACTTGACAAAAATGGGGTACATTGACGTTGTGGCAGGCTTATGCAATATGATCACATACTGAAACTATATCCCAATAATGTTTGCGTATGTCTGATGCTTTTTAAAAAAACGATGATATATTGTAAGTTTGTAAGTTGGTCTTTTGTAAAAGAGTGTGCCGGGTCTTGTATGTTGTAATAATTAGCCTCAGCAGAACCCTCATAATGTATGCATGTTCAACTGAGTGCCGCCCTCTTGGTTTCATATATACATATATACAGACACAATCAATTGTTTCCTGGCTCAGCAGCCTTTGCTCTCTTGCTCACAAAAGTCATGAGTGCTTACACCTAGCTTCTTATGCTTGGCTAGTGCATGTAAAAATGAGATGAGTTAATTAGTGGGTGGAAGAGAGGCGGTAAGGGGTGGGGGCAGACTGAAGAAACACCTCTAGCTGAGAGGAGTGCCAGACAAAGCGAATTGACAAATTTTTCTGAAGGAAAATGTAAACAGTACTTACTGTAATTTTCTTTTCCTTGATATTTATCATGGCATCATTTATGGGTAGCTCCGCCCTCAAAAGCAATACAGGCAGGGCTGGACTGACCCACCGTGATACCGTGAATTTTCCTGGTGGGCTGCGGCACCTGGGGCCAGCAGGAAGCCCTAATGTACTTTTTAAATAATTTTTCCCTCTTAGAGACAGAAGCTGTCACAGAATGAGGCTGGTGCGGCCACATTAAGGCTGCTGGCGGCCGGAGGGAACACTGAGTCTCCCTTCCTGATTCCCAGCAGCACTTAATCCGCAGCCCAGCATTTTAGCTTCGCCCCCGAATGTAATCTCCGCCTCCGTTTGGAAGCTCCGCCTCCCACACTCAAGCAGGGGAAATTGCTGCAGGAAGAGGCCTGGCCTCCCAGAGAAAATGTCATCTCCCACAGCCTCCAGTGCCAGGTAGGGTTTATATTCTGTGTAGTGTGTGTGTCAGTGAGCTAAAGGAAGGGGGTATTGATGGAGTGAGGGGGTATTGATTGAGTGAGGGGGTATTGATGGAGTGAGGGGGTATTGATGGAGTGAGGGGTATTGATGGAGCGAGGGGTACTTGATGGAGTGAGTGGGCATTGATTGAGTGAGGGGTAATAGATGGAGTAAGTCGACATAGAAGAGGGGTAATACTGATGCAGTGAAGAGGGGTATTGATGCAGTGAGGGGGTGGGGGGTAGATGCAGTGGGGGGTATTGATGGTGTGAGGGGGTATTGATTGAGTGAGGAGGTATTTATGCAGTAAGTGGGGGTATTGATGCAATGAGGGGGTATT